CCCTGAAGTTATTCTGTAAATGTAGCATCATGCCCCAAATTTTCCTACCCAACATTTATCATTTACTTTTAAGAGTGATTTTTTTTTCATCTACGTTTTTATCTCCCCATCTCCCCTCTGAGCTCTGGCACATGAGTTTTATTCAGGTCCTCCATCTTTATGGGGCCATCTTGCCTAGTTTATGTCTCTTGGACTTAACTAAAATGATGCAGGTCCAGGAAGGAAGCTCCAGGCACCAGCACCTGTTAACTTTGCTTCTCCAGCTTGAGCCAATTAAGTCAAACTTTGCTATGAGGCTTCCTCGGGAAGTAACAGGCTTAGCAGTCTGATGAATAAACAGTAAGAGCTGTCGTTACCCTTGAGTTATGGTCTGTTTAAACTCCAAATCAACTGCGATTCATGGCTCCCATTTTCTGAAAAATGGAAGCCTTTGGGATATCAGAGAAGGTGACAGTCTGAGTCCTGAGGGAAATCTTCCAACTCCCAGAGGAAGGACAGATGAGAAACATGATTAATATATTCTATCAGTTGGGGAGAAATTTCTCTTTTAAGTTCAATTTTATGGTACATATTAGAAATATGAGCAAGTATGGACAAAAAGCATTCAAGAATTGATCTTTGGTGAATCAAAATATATCCTATTATTGGGAGGCACAGCCTCTATGCTTTCCTGACCTAGTTAGAAATATAACCTGAGAAGCAACAGTCTATCTTACTTCTTCCCACATATCAAGTTGGAATCAATGATCCTTCAGGGAAAAAAAAAAGGGAGATAAAAAAATAAACACACACACACAAATAAATGTTTGCTGGCTTTTAAGCATTCTTTGTCAACTTAGGTCCAACATACCAGTGAAATTCTCTATGCTGCCACCTGCTTCTGAATGGTAAATATAGATTGTTTCATTTTCTGCTTCCCCGGGTAGAGAAAGTAATGGACAGTGACAACCATGATTTGATGAACAGCCAAAGTATGCTTATATTTATTCATTTGTCAGAGCCACTCAAATTAAAGATATGGTTTAAGATTTAATGAGAGGATTCTGGGACGATGAAAGAAATAGAAAGCACCAGGAATGGAATCTGTCTCCCCACCTGGACAACTGCACTTGCAAAATCTTGTCTGCTGGAACTATGCTGGAACTCTGGAGTCCACTGAAGGCTTATAAATTCCAGGGAAAGGCTTGGACTGTAAATTGAGGTTAATTTCAGTTGTTCTTAGCACAATAGGGGCCACTACCAGCCCCTTGGCAAGCGGCTGTGCACATGTTCCTAGAGCAACCTGCACACAATTTGCAGAAGCCAGAACGAGCAAAAGGAACCCTGACCTCCAAATATTGGGGACCTGTGCTCTGATTGCTTACTGCTACTTCTGATCACAAAAATGCAAACAAAGCCGGGCTCGGTGGCTCAGCCTGTAATCCCACGCCTTTGGGAGGCTGAGGTGAGTGGATTGCCTGAGCCCGCGGGTTCAAGACCCGCCTGGGCAGCGAGACCTCATCTCTACAATAAATCAAAAAATTAGCCGGGCGTGGTAGCGCATGCCTGTAATTCCGGCTACTTGGAAAGCTGAGGCGGAAAGATCACCGGAGCCCAGCATGTCAAGGCTGCGGTGGCCGGGAGCGGCCACTGCACTCCAGTCTGGGCAACAGAGTAAGACTCCAACTAAAAAAAAAAAAAAAAAAAAAAAAATGCAAACAAAGGGCAGGCAACCATTGTTGCTATACATTCCCCCAGTGCTGAAATCCCCTCTTCCCCCTCTGACTGAAGTGACAGTGACTGCCAAGGGATTTATAGGGCAAGAGCCCTTTTTCCTCCTTTCATTTTTCTTTTTCCCTTGTTGGAAGCTGGACATTAAAGACTAGGGCACTCAGAAACAACTGTATATATGGGAAAAATCAGAAAGTGACTGCACATACTGAGGGAAAGTTTCAGGCTCAGAAGAGACCTGCATAGGCCTGAAGTTTATACCTCAGGCTGACCCTTGGACCAGAGACCACCTACAACAATTAATAATTAATAATTATTAATAACAATTAATAATAATAAATAACAGTAACAAAAACCAGCAACCCTAGAGAAGAATCTGATTTCTAGAGTTACCATATTATTAGATTCAAATATCCAATATTCAACAAAAATTCACAGGAAAGTATGGCACATTCAAAGGAAAAAAATGAATCAACAGAACACTATCCCTGAAAAAAAGATCTGAGAGCAAATCTAACAGGCAAAACTGTCTTAAAGATTCCCAAAGAACTAAAGCAAAATGTAAAGAAAGTCATGAAAACAATGGGGGGAAAAGGGAAATATCAAGCCGGGCTCGGTGGCTCAGCCTGTAATCCCACGCCTTGGGAGGCTGAGGTGAGTGGATTGCCTGAGCCCGTGGGTTCAAGCCCCGCCTGGGCAACTTGGCGAGACCTCATCTCTACAATAAATCAAAAATTAGCCAGGCATGGTAGTGCGCGCCTGTAGTTCCAGCTACTTGGAAGGCTGAGGCGGAAGGACTCCAACTCAAAAAAAAAAAAAGTGGTAGAATGCCTAATAAGCAGCCAAAAGGAAATTCTGGAGCTGAAAAGTACAGTAACTGAAATGAAAAATTCACTAGAGGGATTCAAAGGCAGATATGAGCAGGCAGAAGAGAGAATCAATGAACTTGAAGATAGGACAATAAAAATTTTTGAGTTTGAGAAACAGAGCCTAGGAGACCTGTGGGACACCATCAAGCAGACCAATATACACATTTTTGGGAATCTCAAAAGGAGAAGACAGAAAGTCACAGAGATAACATTTGAAGGAAAAAAAATGGCTGGAAAATTCCCAAATTTGATGTTAGAAATGAATAAAAACATCCAAGAAGACCAATGAACTCCAAGTAAGATTAACTCCAAGAGATCCATAACAAAAACATTATAATTAAACATCCAAAAGCCAGAGACAAAAGGAGAGTTTTGAAAACAGCAAGAAAGACGATTTATAACATACAAGTGATCTTAAATAAGATTACCTGCATATTTTGCATCAAAAATTTTGGAGGCCAGAAGGAAGTAGGCCAAATATATTCAAACTGCTAAAAAAAAAAAAAAAAAAAAAAAAAACCTATCCACTAAAAATTCAATATTCAGCCGGGCTCGGTGGTTCAGCCTGAAATCCCGCACTTCGGGAGGCTGAGGTGAGTGAATTGCCTGAGCCTGTAGGTTCGAGACCCGCCTGGGCAACTTGGCGAGACCTCATCTCTATAATAAAAAAATAATTCAATATCCAGTAAAACTGTCCTTCAAACCAGGGAGAAATTAAGACATTCCCAGATAAACATAAGCTACAGGAGTTCATTACCAGTAGAACTGCCCTGAAATAAATGCTTAAGAAGTTCTGCAAGGTAAAATGAAAGGACACAAGACTAACTCAAAGACATAGGAAGAAATAAAAATCTCAAGAAAAGTAAAAACATGGGTAATTATAAAAGCGTAATTTTAACAATGGTTTGTGATTCCAGTTTGTTTTTTATATGATTTGAGACTAATACTTTAAAAAATTATTAGTTTAAAAGCTAGTATTATTGTTTTTAAAAAAGATTTCCTGAGACTAATTTTTAATATATATATTAAAATTGTATGGTTTATATATAAATATAAAATTGTATGGCTATCTATCTATACATATATAGATAGTTTATTCATTAAAAATAATTAGGTCAGCCAGGCTCGGTGGCTCAGCCTGTAATCCCGTACTTTGGGAGGCCGAGGTGAGTGAATTGCCTGAGCCCGAGGGTTCGAGACCCGCCTGAGCAACTTGGCGAGACCTCATCTCTACAGTAAATCAAAAAAGTTAGCTGGACGTGGTAGCGCACGCCTGTAGTTCCAGCTACTTGGAAGGCTGAGGTGGAAGGATCGCCGGAGCCCAGCAGGTCAAGGCTGTGGTGGGCGGGAGCGGCCACTGCACTCCAGTCTGGACGACAGAGTGAGACTCCAACTCAAATAACAATAAGAAGAAGAAGAAGAAAAAGAATTAGGTCTATATATATCAATATAGGAAAATAACTTAGAGATATTGCTAAAAAGCACAATATGTACATTGGATTGATTCAGTGTTTGTAAATATGGTATGTGTATGTTCACGTGTGTGCATATATACTCTTTATACATACACAAATACTGTGTTTTGCTGAATTCTGAATATAAAAAAATAAGTCAACAAAAATAAACACGTAAATGGTAATAGTGGTTACGCCTAAGGAGTATGTCTTAGGTTGGGTTCCCAAAGAAGAAGGCCATAAAACAAAGATTTACATGTAACTGTCAGTGGTCTATTGGCGAGGGCACCAGGAAACACTGATGGAACAGCAGAGAAATAGAAAATAAAAGAGAGAAAACAGAAAATAGAGGGTATGTTCCTGAGCAAGTTACTGTGGTGAGCAACGGGACTTGATCCCACAGGGAAATCCTAAAAGACAGTGTAGGACACACCTCGGATATTCCAACCAATGGATGATGAAGTATATTTGCCCATCCCCAATCATGATGGCATGAGGTCTCAGAGATACTGTCTCCCAACCCTTGGGGCTTGTCCCATATGTACAAGTCAAAAGAAAGCCTGGAGAATGAAAGTCACAGGCACTTGTGGCAGAATGCTGCCTACAAGTAAGAGGAGCAGTAAGAGGTGCAGTGATGTGGGTGAGAGACTACTACAGGGTAGACTATGGAAAACTCTCACTTTTTACATAATTTTTTAATTACTGTTTGTTATATATCAAGGACACATTTTAAAATCAGAAAAAACTAAGGTAAAAATACTCACCCTCACCAAAGTACTACATTTTCCAGAGAAAAGGAAAAAAGGTTTATGATTAAGCCAGAAAACATTCAGGAAGGCCATGGGTCTCATCACAAACTGGGCATTCCACCTAGAAAATTTCCACCAAGGAGCCAGCAGCCCTGGAGATCAGCTCACCTGGCTTGCTGGGGGATAGTACTGTGAGGAAAGAGACAGCTGAGACAAAGCACCGTTTTGACATTTTTATTCACTGATCATAAATATAGTCTCATGAACATTAAGGTGATCATGAATGATGTACTAGCACCTGGAACGTGACTGTCATGGAGCACTCATCGTTTTACCATCACTGGCCAGAGAACTCAGAGCATCTTCATATCAAGTGTTCAGCTTTGTGGGGACCCTCTTTCTGGTACAGCAATTTTATTCGTGGCTCATTCTCAACAATTAAAAATCATAAAAGACTGAGCGTCTGCAAGAAAATATCAAAGAGAATAAGATTTCTGTTCTTCTTAGAGTCTAAAGTAAAAAGGGGAGGTAGGGAGAAAGGAGAGGAAAGGGGAAAGATGTCAGGGATCTGCCACATTTCTTCCTTTCCCCAGAGCATTTTGCAAAAACAAAAGCCAGGAAGGTATTAATGCTCTTTGGAGATGGGTTGCGTCTCTCTGATGAGCCACTCGAGAGCTTCCTGGCGGCCCTGTTTCTGAAGCTCCTTCCCGATCACATCCCTGCAGGTCAGGTGGTAATTGTTGAGCCAGTCGCACTGCAGTGGGGAGAAGGACAGACTCAGTATTCACCATCAGCCTAAGTCAAAAGGCTACACAGGCCAAGAGAAAGGACGCCATACGCTACGATCACAAGTTGAGAGTAAGCATGCACAAAACCCCTTCCCCATGCTCATGGACAAGTGATTTCCTTGTGTTCTGTTTCCCTGGAAATAGATGGAACTATTGCTTATGGTGAAAATTCTCCTAAAAGTTTACTATTAGAAACAATAGTCTCCAAGCCAGCAGCTACTGTACCCACCAGTGTGGCTTTATTCCCTTGTACCAGAGTCATCTTGGGGAGGTGGTAAGTCGGGGAAGAGCACCTGAATAGCCCCTGGACTCCATAAGGACTCCTACTAAGAGACATACCTGAAGCTATCCTGCCAATGCACTGAGTTACAGATCCTATACCCACTGACAAAGTTGAATAAACTAGGATCAACCAAGCCTATGCGGGTCTTATGAGAGCGACTGCTTATAAGAATCCAAAACCTTTAGTGGTTAAAGACTGTGGCACTACAGAGCAGGACTGGGAGTCAGCTTGACTTTCAGACCCTCAGTTCAATATGCTACAATAGCAATAGACAAAAAGAGATTAAGAGAAAGGAGGTGCTAGCAGGACTTGGTGTCTGGGTTGGGCTGATCAACTAGACGTGATGGTGAAAGCTCTGGGATAGGTAAAAGGGTGAACTCTCTCACTTGGTTCGGGCAAAGAGAGATAAGGACTGGCGTGAAGCAAGTTTTATGGAGGGTACAGTAAGCCCCATTCTTCATTGTCCATGGCGCAGCTGTAGTAAGGGTAATGAGACTGACACTGCCATGGGTGTGATTGTTGTAAATGAGCCAAAGGTCACTTAGGAAGGCAGTGGTGTTACATAAGCACTGACTACAGGGACTATAGTCTAACCAGGTGCCAGAGACCAACTAGGAGTCAGGATGGACACACGAGCCAACAGGGATTGAGGGCAGACAGATGGGGTGGAGCTGCCAACTGGTTCAGCCCAGCCCAGCCCAGCCCACGTTCCAGCTCCTACTGAGAAGAGCCTATTAACCTTTTTTTGGGAGTTGGGGAAGTGGTGCGGGTGGGAGGGGGTGTCAAAAGCAAGCGAACTGTCATGTGTCCATAGGAAGGCCAGCAGGGAGACAAGGCAGCCTGTCATTCAAAGCAGCTCAACTGTGACAGGGACAGCAGCATCCGGTGTAACCCTGGGGCCACAGGGAAACTCTCAAGGCCCTTTAGGTTGGGTGGAGGGGGAGAAAAGGAGGAGTGTTGACAATCTCAACGGAGCCTGAGCAACATCCCAAGGCCCTGATAGTCTGCAGCAGCCCACATTCCATCTGACCAAGGTCCTTTGCTGCCATCTGGTGACAAATGATGGGAATGCAAACCCAAACCAACAGCAAAAAAAAAAAAAAAAAACCGGACAGAATATTGTTATGCAGTATTACTGTGCCTTCAGACAGAATGAAGCCCTGGACTTATTAAGAGGTACACAGGAAAGGTACTTTATACCAAAAAGGTAATAATACTACTATATAAATAATAAACAATACCGTACTCTATTGGTATGTTAAGTATCGTCATCTTTTATTTGTGGAACTTGCTTATGATCCCCAAGATAAGAAGACATCATCTGCCCTATAAAAATATAAAGAGTAACTGGCCAAAAGAACAGTTCAATGATTTGGGTATGCAAACTGCCACTGGCCTATGTCCAATGTTATAGGAGAGATTGAGTCACCAGTTAACAGAACTCTCCTTCAAGAAAAGAATAGCCTAGCTTAACCTTGCTCATCCACTATTTCCCTGGATAAAGTAGAATGTCATATAAGAGAAATGTCTCCGGATCCATACACTTTATGTGGACAGGAAGGATTGCATGGCCTAGAATTACTCAGTAGGAAGCCACAGTCTTAGGCTTCCGAGACAGCAAAGTGGCTTATTACTGTAGAGTCCCTGATTCCCATAGGGCAGAAGGCTCATAAACAGGGTGGCACCCATGCCCACCTATGTGTTCTCATTCCCTTTTGCCTCAGACATTACTTTCGGAGGCTGAAGAAGAGCCCCTGAACCCCTGAAAGGGTTCTTCCTGTTAAAGAGACACAACTGCCACTGTGCTGACATGCTGAGTTTCCTGTTCTTATTCATCTGCAAGCTGCATAAACCAACATCAGCAGGGACTGCTTGGTTCCTGTGAGTGGGAATGTCTGGCTAAACCAAGCACTGATGGCCAAACAAGGCACCCAAGCGTAGAGGACAGTAAGTCAGAAGGAGATGACCTTCCTCCATCACCCATCTGTGAGGTGGAAAAGGCAGAAGAAGTTTCTAGCTGGGAGAATCCCACTCCTCAGCTACTGCTGAAGGGGACTCCTTGGCCCCCAGAGGCCCTTTCCTTCTGTGCCAAGAATGAAGCCCAAGCAGCCCATATGGAGGAAATGTTCCTGCCTCAAGAGGCACGCAAAGCTCCTGGGATGAGGCCAGGGACTGCATCAGATAACAAAACTGTTTTATTCTTAATAATAAGATGCTTTCTGCCTTGGGCTCCCACCAGTCATTTGTTGTTTGTAACTTCTGGCCTCTGCCCTGCTCTGGAATTTGTGTCCTGGCTTACAGCTTCCTGGCTTGGGAACTGTTTTTCTGTCCAGTGCTAACGGTTCGTGCCCATTTTGACCCTCATGTCCTTTTGACCTGCTCTGACCTTGATCACCTGCATGATCCCACAAGCCTTACTCAAGTACCCAGACCTGCCAAGCCCAGGGTCTGAAGGAGTTTCAAGACCTATAATCCTCTGAGCCTGGCAAGTGAGCACTGTTGCATCTGGGGCTTTGTGAACATTTTCACGGCCCCAGGATGACCACATAGTAACAGAGAAGGGATGGTTCCACCTTCTTCCTTGTCTGTGTGAAAACTGAACATATGATAATAGATGTTGCTTCTCATTTCCTTAATGTTTCATGAAACACAAGAAAACAATCTGCTATATACAGTGGCCAAGAGGCCCCACCATCCATCTGGCTTTTTGTAGGGAAGACACATGGGCCCAGGTTTGCTAAACATGCCTCAATGCAGCAATGGAGGACTAATGCAGCTATTTCCTCCTGAAAAGCAATGGCAAACTGTTCCCCCTCACAAAACCCTACAGCCCCACAATGGCTAGGAGGAGCATACAATTGCCACCTGGAGGCTCAACAAATATAGGAAAAACTCCTGGCATACTCAGGAGACCTAGAACTTTCAGACTCAGTTGGCCTACACCTCCAAATTAAGAAATGAGAATGGATTCGAGAATTTAGGATTAGCAGTTAGGATTAGAGAAGGGATTAGAACTACTTAGGGTAGTTCTCCACCCCCACTACTAATAGCGTGCCCACCCCTCTGACCCTACCCACCCCAACCCTACTCCCTATCCCCACAAAGACTTTCCCATTACCTCTTTGTCTGTAAGAGAATCCACATCTATCATTTTGGTCTGAATTGGAACCAAAGTTAGCGGTTCAAAGGTTAGGCTTCCCCGGTTGTTGAAATTATACTGTGGGAGAAGGAAGAAAACAGAAGATTTTACTCCTCTTTACCATGATGAATCCCATGAGATCATTCCAACATCCGTGGCCACCCCTAAGAGCCAGGTGTAACAAGGAGCCAAGACTCAGTCAGTTGGTCAGCATTTTTCATAGGCACACAGGGAGGATGAACACAGTTGAAGCCATTCTCCAAGAGCTCCTCCACTGGGTAGATAACAGCCTATGCAACAGAAAAAGCCAAACAAAGGGTGCTGAGGGGCTCCCACCAGCAGATCCACAAAACTAATGTGTACCTTGAGAGGGAGGAAGTAGGGGCAGGGCATGGGGGTGTTTAGCCTCGGGCATCTCTGGTTTTGGTTCTTAAGACTGCTGAGGTTTAAGTCCCCAGTACCATTTTTTAAAGTCAACTGTGTGGCCTTCCTTGACCCAGCCAGGTCCATCAGATGTTAACACATTTGTCTACCGGGCACAAAAGAACATGCTGGGTCTCTATCATTTCAGGGCATTTGGGAGTTAGGTGGGAGGCCCTTCCAAGAACAGTGACTTCCAGATGGAAAGAGAGCGGATCCCCACTGTCAACCTCCTTGCAGACATAGGAAGCTACTTCCCTCCAACTGTTCATTTCCAAAACCACTAGCGGAGGAGGGGTAAACAGGTCTTTTAGGCAAAGTCTAAAACCCTGCAATATCTAACACTGATGGGTGAGAGGAAGTAATGCATGTCTTGTATTGTCTGTGAGGTCTACTCCTCGTGGTATAACTCAGGGTTCAACTTTACCTCATAAAAATTACATGAGGAATGAGATGAAGTTACAGCTTCCAGGCCCTTTCCCTGGAGATTCTGATTCAGGGTCTAGGAGGATCCTGAAAACTGGCCCCTTGAACAACACCCCCAGCAGAGAAGACTTCATGGCAAGAAGCCATGTCTAGTGAACTCAGAGCCCCAAATCACATGGAGCAAGGGTCAGCCCTAGGGTTCTGTGAATTCCAGTTCTGGGTCCCAGTTCATTAAGGATTTTCTTTCTGGATTTGCAGAAGAGGAGGTTTCCAGAAAAGTCCCTGGTATCAGGGGAAGGAGGCTCCACGTTGGCTCCAGAATGGCACACTCTTAGCTCCAAAGATGTAAGTCTACATATTCCCACAATCAGGAATAGGATATTTTTTTAAATAATTACTCACCTTGGTCTTCATGGGAACCACCAGGACAACATTCTCAATGCGAATTCCAAAAGCCCCATCTTCATAATACCCTGGCTCTAAAACAAGCCAAACCCCAAAATGAGAAGCAGCTCATGATGAAGATGTTCACAGAGAGGAGTTTTCACTTCTAGGATGAGCACCCTTTCTTCCAAGGAGAAGAAGAAACAGGTGAAGAACCCACTCTATCCAGGTGTAAGAGGCCAAGAGGCTACTCTCACTTACATGGCCACTTTTTTACAGACACTTAAGGTACAGAAAGACAGGTTCTGAAGTTTCCAAACACTGGCTACAGGGTAAGAAGTACACTAACAGAATACACTAAATAAGTCATGGTACATATTCATAAGACACAATGAATGAAACAGGCATTAAAATATATTTACAAAAATTTGGCAACGACATGGGAAAAGGCAAGCTATTAAGTTAGAAAGCTAACGCAGATAATATGTCCAGTATGGTCTCAATAAAATCAAAGATATCTGCATATCAAAAAGACCAAAAGTTAAAACAGCAAGAAAAATGTTAAGTCATGATTACCCTGTGTAGTTAAGATTACAGATAATTTTCATCTTCTTTTTAACCTATTCCATAATCTCATTTTTTCAAAAATGAGCTTCTTCAGTTTTATAATGAGAAAGGTTTGCCGGGCATGGTGGCTCACACCTGTAATCCCAGCACTTTGGGAGGTGGAGGCGAGAGGATTGCCTGAGTCCAAGGGGCAATTTGGTGAGACTTTGTCTCCACAATAAATTTAAAAATTAGCTGGGTATGGTGGTGCATGCCTGTGGTTCCAGCTACTTGGAAGGCTGAGGCAGAAGGATCACCTGAGCCCAGTAGGTTGAGGCTGTGGTGGCCATAATCATGCCACTGCACTCCAGCATGGACAACAGAGTGAGACTCCTACTCAAAAAAAAAGAAAAAGAAAAGAGAAGTTTGGTGGTAGTGGTAGTGGCAGTGTTAATGCAAAGTGACAGAAGGGGAAAATTATTGCAAATTTACTTTAAAATAATTAAAAAATAAAAACAACAAATAGCTTTCAAAAAGGCTCAAGGATCCATGCATGCCTTCTATGTGAGGGACACCTACCATCGGTGACAATCATGCCTGCCTCCAAGGGCTCATCAGAGAATGTTTTGTAACTAATGCCGCAAGGACCCTCATGCACATTCAAAAAAGACCCAACACCATGTCCAGTTCCATGTAGGTAATCCAGGCCAGAATCCCATAAAGCTGAACGGGCAAAAGAGTCGAGAAGGTGGCCTGAAAGACAGAATAGAAAAGACACAGAAATAGCACTTTGTGATATTTGTACAGCACTTTCAAGATTAAATTTATTATGCTTGGCTCCAGAATGCAAAACAAAAACCAGGGGTAAAAGTCACTGGAGGGTTCAGATTTCAGCCCAGCACAAAAAAGAACTGTCTAACAATCAGAGCTCCTGAGGAGCCAGTCAGGATTCAGTCTGAAGCTAAGGCAGTCTTCCATCCGGGATGCAGGTAAGGGGGTGGGTGGCACCTGCAGCAGATAAAGGCTGCATTCAATGGCATAAACATTCCCTTCCCAGCTCTGGGTCCCTAGCATTTCAATATCACAAAACTGAGATTCTAACCAGACTACAAGCAGGCAGGTAGGCATGACAGATGAGGAAATAGGTTCTGAAAGATGAGTGCATGCCTGATCTAAACAGATTCACAACCCAGGTCCTGTCAATTCCCAATCCAATGCCCCACCCACCAGTCCTCAAGCAAAGAAGTACACAGCTAAGGATCCCAGTAAAAAAAAATCCCAAGAATCCTGGAAGGAGGCAATGGCCCAATGCTAAAGGACAGACAAGAGGCTACCCCAACTTCCGCTCAGGACCTGCAGCCTGTATACCTCGTTTGTCCTCTCCTGAGAGCCACCCATATGTGTCAACCAATACTATATGGGATCAGAAGAGAGGTACACAACTGACACCAGGCCCAATCCTAAGCCTGGCGCCCTGGAGGTCCTCTGGGCTCAGTCAGTGGGTCCAGGAGACTCACCTGCAGCACCCCTACCTGTCCTGGCTGAACCTGAGGGGGGCTGGGGACTGACACAGGGAGGGAAAGAACATGTTCTTCTACTCAAAGTCAGACATGTTTGATTCTTGAACAAGAAAAAGAGCCTGCCATAGGACAGAAGGAACCACCTACCTTTGGTTCCAGTTGGGAAAACGGCTGCGCTCACAGCTATGTGGCCCTTGAGGACATATGTGAAGCACTCCTGCCAAAGAAAACCCAGGAGCACGTTGCAGAATGGGGACAGACGTTTTAATTCAGTAGTTTTCTGGTAGCTCAGAAAACCTTGCCTACGTTTTTAGCAATACCACAGAGAAAATCAGAGTAAAAAGAAAAAATGGGGGAAAAAAAGCCTGGCCATGGGACAAATTTTTCAGAAAATCTTAAAATTAATTTTAGTACATGAGCACTGTCAGAGAGATGACCCCATAGGACTTTACAATGAATGACATATTCTGTCTCATGTGAGCCTTGAAAAGACTGAAAAAATTAAAGAGTACTGATGATGCTAGCTAACATTTATTGAGCTAGTTCTCTGTGCCAGGCACTGTTGTAAGCACTGTACTTTTAACCCCACACGTCTAGATGGAGACACTATTGTTACCCTCAGTTTTCAGAGCAATTCAGTGGCCTGCCCAGATCACACAGTCCCTAAGTGGCAGCCTCTAGCCCTGAAGCTAGGCAATCTTGCTTCAACATCTATACTCCTTACCACCATATTGTCCTCAGGGTTTTCCCTACTGTCTGGACAAGAAAAGTACTTCTTGGAAGGTTGGAGGCTTGCCAGTAAGGTGAAGAGTCAGGACTAAAGCTTAGCCCTCCTCAACTTGGTCTGGGGGTCTTTCTACTGCATAAAAAGAATTGCACCAAAGAAACCAAATTAAGGCAATTGTACACACAAATGTATAAGACAAGGGACCAAGACTATGAAATCTGCTCAACTACATCACATAAAGCTATTTTCCTAGGATAATCTTCCTGAAGACGCTCCCTTCACTCAGAGACTCAATCAACATTCCCTGAGCAGTGACTGTGATCCAGGAACTCAGTGGGCTCACTGTAATTCACAAGGAGCCTGGAGGGTGGGTACTTTTATCCCCATTTTGATGGATGGTAAGTGCTTTGTTCAAGATCATAGAGTCATAAACAGTTAAAAAGTTCTAAAGCCAGGTCTCCAGACTCCTGGTACACATCCCTCTGCCTCGCAGGTCTACTATCCCCTTCCAATCACCCCAGAAACTAAATACAGTCTGTCATTTCAGAGAGTTCCTAGAGTACTGAGCCTGTAATAAGCTGAACTTTTAAAAGAAGAGGGGTGGCTTTCAGGATCAAATCTAGACACTGCTTGTAAAGCATGTATTTCACTACCCAACCCCTAGCCTCAAAGAGATTTCCTGACTCAAGAGAAAGCCAGAAGTATTTAAACTGGAACTTGGGCTGTCCTGACCTTAGCAGAATGCTTTAAAATTTCTCCAAATGCCTTACTCTCGATGATTAATTAAATCAACTCCATAAAGCAAATAAGCCTAACTCCACGGTAATGAGCAATTTTACTATCCCATGTATAATTTTTACTTATTTATACAATCTCTTTTCGTAAAAGCAATGTTCTTCTTAAGAAAGCAGAGAGGGCCTCTTGAGTTTTGTTTTTGTTTTTTGGTTTTGCCTCTGCCTCACCTTCTCATAGGCTGTAGGAGTCCCAAAATGCATGGTCCGAGTCACATCTGTGGTTCCATCCCTTTCCAAAAGGAAGGACAAATTAGTTTTCAGTCAAAATAAGCTTTTAGTCAAATATGAGATAGGCAAGGGTGTGGAGAATCCTCATCTACTGCTGGTGGGCATGTAAAATAGTGCTGCCACCTTGGAAAACAGTTTGCAGTTCCTTAAATGGTTAAATATAGTCACTATATGACCCAGCAATTCCACTCTTAGGCATATATCCAAGAGAACTGAAAACACACATCCATGCAAAATCCTGTACATGAAAATTCACTGCAGTATTATTCGTAATAGCCAAGAGATGGAAACAATCCAAATTTCCATCAACTGATAAATGGATAAACAAAATGGGGTATTAGCCACACAATGGAATATTATTCGGTATTAAAAAGAAATGAAATGCTGATACATGCTACAACATGGATGAACCCTGAAGACATGCTAAGTGACAGAAGCCAGACAGAGAAGGCCATATATTATATAATTCCATTTATATAAAGTGTCCAGGATAGGCAAATCCATAGATACTAAAAGTACAGTAGTGGTTTTCTAAGGTAGAGGAAAACAGACTGACTGCTAATGGGCATGATGTTTCTTTCTGGAGTGATGAAAATGATGTAAAGCTGACTGTGGTGATGGTTGCACAACTCCGTAAATATATTAAAAAATTAATTTTACACAAAGTGAGTAAATTATATAGTATATGAATTTTACCTCAATAAAGTTATTATTTTAAAAATGAGACAAAGTGTGAATACAAGGATGACTTGATAAAGCAGGAATGAACTCAGTCCGACACACACGCTCTTGGTCTACAGTATGAGAACTGTCTCACGAGAAACACTATCACTGGGGTTATAAACAAAACAGAAGAGGACAAAGTAAAAAGCAAAAGAGGGCCGAAATCTATTTCTTCTGTTAGGACAGCAAGGAATTTCTTGGACAGAGAACTTAAAAATATCCAAGCGCATCACTTAACTCATTCTAAACCACATCCCTGACATAGAAAGGATAACATTCATAACCCTGCTAAAACGTAGAGGTGAACAAAAGTTTACACCATTCCCAAGTAATCCTTGTATCCTAAGCTCTAGGTTGATACTATTAATACCCTGTGTCTCAAGGCTAGATGTAGTTTCCATGTCACTGACTGGGATCATTCAATAATTAGGTCCTCCCTTAGCCACAGACCCAACTACAGTGGGAAAGGGAGCAATACAAGGCCTTGCTTGGACTCTCTTAGTGCAGACAGTGTCTATTCTCACTCCTTCTCTTGGGTTCCATATAAAGACCCAATCAAACCTTAGCTTCTTCTCTAAGAAACTATTCTAGAGGAGATGGCTATGAAAGTGGCAAGACATAAAGAGGGAAATTCAGAAATCTGAGGACAGCCTCATTTCTCATTCATTCATTCATTCATTCGAAATTAATCCCTTACTTCAGAAGGCCTTGGGGCAGCTGCAAGTACAGGTAGCCAGGAGACAGTGCATGGGCTAGGGCGGAAAACTTTCAGTGGTTCCAAAGTCTTGCTTTATTTCAGTTGTTTAATGTTAAACAGCTTCCAGCCAAGAACCAAATATTCCTATCAAACAGTCTTTTGTGGAAACAGGGTCACAACTGAGCTATTTAAACTAGGGGTTAAATAAAGGACAAGACTTAGAAACAATTCCATTAGTGGTCAGCAGAGATTGAGATTCCCAGCTGAGCGCTCTCAGCTGGAGCTCAGCTGTCCACCCACTCAACTGCCTTGAAATACACAGGGTCAGGTTCCACAGCAGCCCAAGTTCACTTACTTGTATTGTGCGCCCGAGTCAATGAGGTACACTTCATCCATGGACAAAGTCCTATTCGTCTCAGGGACCGGCCTAACAAAGTTAATTAAAAATTAATTATTCCACAAATGTAAGCATTTGGTGAATCTGGGAGGGGGGCATACAAGAGTTCCTTGTACTATTCTTGCAACTTATAGAAGTCTGAAATATCAAAACTAAAAGGTATCCAATAAATTAGTTATTCCAACTAATATTAGCATCTGCTATTCAAAGATCCAGCCAACCTATCTCTCCAACTAGATAAAGAGCTCAAGAGAAGCATAACATGTTTCTTTATATCTACTACTGTGTGTGCCTACAACAAACAGATGTTCAAGCAATAATTGTAAAAGTTACAAAAATGAGAATCAGTAGAAGTAACAGGACTGAGCTAGAGTCCTGGAAACTGGATGGGAGTAGCCTGGAGTTGCCACAGCCTCTTATCTCCGGGAGCCCCAAGCTCCTGTCTCAGCCTCCAGGTCCATCCTTTAGTCCTGACCCCCAAGTGCCTCCCCACTTGCTTCCCAGACCACTAGAGAGGCCAGAAGTGAATGATTCAACTTGGGAGGAAAGTTTTTTAAATTTTGGTGGGAAAAGGAATGGATCATGATGCTATTTTATATTGGAACACTTTTTTCAAATAAACATGAGGTATTTTCAAAAAGTGATTGCATTGCCCATGCTATTTTCTGCACAATAACCCTGCACTGGAAAATGCCCAGGGATGACAGCATTCTAAGGCTCTACCCTGCAGCTGAAGGAGACTGTCCTTCACTCCCAGGTGACATCCCCTCTTCAGCAATAAGGGCACAATCCAAACACAAGCTGAACCACCAAAAAAGATAACCATTGCCTACAGCACCCTGCTTCTCAACAGGCTTCAACAGCCCACAATGAAGAGATGCCACCAGAGACAAATTTCTCTCCTGCTGGCATGAAATAGTTTAATGTTTTAATTATACACAAAATTCTAGGATAGTATCCAGCCAGGAAATTCATATCTGAGTTAAACATAAGACAAAAATGAAGTCCCTTTGATATTTTTATGTTGGAACAGAAGTATTAATGTCAGAAAACTGTACTGTCACATCTGTGACTGTCTCACACACAGCTTCAAAATCTGCCCCAAGACTAAAAACTCTATAAGCAATTATTAAAAAGACAGGAAAAAAATGTGAGCCCATGTACAGCACAGGGAGACAGTGTTCCTTCCCTGACTGTGCATATCCCACATGGGGAAGTGGAGGATTCAAAACACCCAATGCCCAGTGCAAAGCAAAATGGGTTCAGCTGGGCAAAGCTAAAGCGGAAGCCCTATGGCCATGCCTGATGACACAGCCCAACATCCCCACAGACAGACATATCTGGCAGTCCCACACAGATCAGTGCCCCTCTTGTCTCACAATTCAAGGAGGCTCAGCTCTGTGGGTCCATGCATTCTTGTAGATCATGTGGTAAACAGTCCCACAGACTGGGATGCCAGGCTTCAGGCCCAGGGGAGAGGAAAGAGAGTGCTGATTATCTCTCTACCCAAAACAGGTTGCCCCACAGCCTGGCGATAAGTTATTTTTAGTACAGAACTGATGGAGCTCACAGGATGTATAGACTACTACGTCAAGAAGGCTACTATTACCAGGAAGGAAAATCATTTAAAAATTCCAGTCATAAAGATGCAAGGGCTATCAGTACAATCCTGCAGCTTCAAAGAAGACAGACAGATGCCCATCGGACTACACTGTGGAGAATGCCAGTGCCATACTGAGCCTAAGAGGAGGCTCCTAAAAGGCAGGGGCTTGGGAATTGAGAGAAAATCAGAGGAGAACATAAGACCTCAGAGGTCTTATTTCCCTTCACTTTACATTCTCAACAGACACCTAGATGTGGGCACAGGGGCCTCTGGTAAAATAATGTCTCTCCCCTGCTCAGGCTTCTATGCAGAAGCAGCAGCAAAGCCAGGCAGCAGGCTCCTCTGCATGCCTTACGCGTAGTGAATGATGGCGCCGTTGGGTCCCGTACTGGAAATCGTTGGAAAGCTCAAGTCTACAAAGTCCGCCTGCTGCCTGCAACAGAAAGACACAGAGAGCAGAGGCTTAAAGGCTGTTACTGTGCTGAGAATCAGGGCCCTCCAGCCTCATTTAATTTGCAAGGAATCAGCATGAAGTTCACGGGATCCCCAAGGGAACCCATGGGTTCCCCAAAGGGATCCTTACCTGCGAAATTCCTCAGCTTTGTCAGCAGCTGAGATCTCTGTCACACCACCTTTGGGAACCTATGAAAAAATTGCTTATAAATCATCTAGTGAGATAATATGAGCTTCTTACATGTTAAAGTGGGAACATTAAAAGCTCACTTTTTCCTCAATTTCCATATCCCAGATGTCCAAGCTACACAGCTTATGTCCCATCTTTACCAAGGGGGGGACCTTCCATAGGCTCTCATCAAGGCTATCTAAAGTAGAAGGGTTTCTTTCACCTGCAGGCAGCCCACTCATGTAGTTCATACTCACTTGTACCCCACATCTTTATCATAAAATAAAATTTAATTAAAAAAATTAAAAAGTGGAAGGACTTCTATTCAGTTAATTTTTCACTGAACTCTTTTGCTTCAGTATTTTTTCCTAAAAACCAAATAACGTATCCAAACATTTAAAAATTCAAAAGCACCCTCTCCTAGGAAATCAATCACCATAAGAAAATCATCCTAATGAAATAAAAAATAAATAAATGCAAAGATATTACTGCAGGATAACTGAGAATAGTAAAAAATTAAAACAACCCAAACATTTGAAAATAGGAGGAATAGGCAAGTCAGTCTACCCACTAAACGTAATTTCCTTTTGCATCCTTTCTTAAGTCCTCTAAGCACAAGGAAAACGTTCACAATATGATTCTAAGGGAATAAAATAAAACACAAAATTGTATCTGTACACCAAGAGACATGTAAAATGATTTATATTTTTTAAAATGACTTATACAGATGAACAATAGCCAGAAGGAAACATGAGGAAAAATAGTTACTCTGATGAGATAAAGATGATATTTTCTTTTACCAATTAAAGAGTTGTTTATATAATATTTAAAGGGAACATGATATTGTTTTATAACAGCACAAAGAAACTGCACTGTTGTCAACTACAGACAGTGGAAGGGCAAGAAATTAATGGCCAGTGTCAATTTAATATGAAAAGTTTAATAGCTTAAACTAAAATTCAAAGTGTACACAAAGATCTTTTTCTCCTAATACAATCAGCTTGCCTATAATCATATTATAAGGGTCATTTTTTTCCCTATAATGAAATTCACTGAGTTATAATTCCCTAACCCAAAAAAAACCACTCTGTTACAGAATTTCTTTCTTCGCCCTTGTTACTATTTTCTACAATTAAGGAATTGAAAAATATATACACAGATTTCCAGAAAGAATTATTAAAACAGAGCACTAAAATTAGATCAAGATCTCAGACCTCACAATGGGGCATGGAGAATGCCACAGTTAGTCACATGTAGATATTTCTGAATAACATATCACTACATGCTAAATGAAGACTAAGAACTAACCTCTTTCTCCAGCCAGTTAAAGAGTTCACAGAGGGCAACAGCATCTTTAATCTGTGCAAACAATGGAGACATTTTTTAAAGTTATTATTGAAAATCACATGGCTAGACTCAGGGCCCAGCAATACTGATAGGACTGTACCTACAGGGCCATAAACCAGCAGCAATCAGGGCTTTACATGTGAACATTTTCTGGAAGCCAGTATGCAGCAATTCCCATTATCAGGGGAAGCTCCTCTGCTATTCAGTAGTTCAGGAATCAGGAAGGGCCCACCTCAGTGCACGGGCAGCCTCCCCAAAGGCTGGACTCTTGCCCTACAGGGTCCAGGAAAGACAGGCCACTGTCAAAAACCATCTCTGGGCCCAAAATTTTTATAGACCTACCCTTTGCTTTGAAACACAATGTAGCTCTTTTAAGAGGCTGCATCATCATCATCATCTACACTATCATCATCAATATTTCTTTTGTGTTACGTGTTATAAAGATCTAACCCAACAAGTACTTTATTTCATTCCCTCACTAACTCTGAAAAGCCAAGAGGCTGAAGCTCAGAGAGATTGTGACCTTGTGCCAGACTCAAGGCCAAAGAGGAAGTGAAGGAGACAGGCCTTCTGACTACCTCACAATGTCTTCTGCACCTGCCACTCTACTCACGTGAGCCCGCCTCATGCCTTCTGACTCGGCTGAATTCTTCACAGCTTTAGCAATGCAGATAGGGGTGTAAGGCATACAGCAGCGATGATCCTAGAGGCAAAGGGCAGTAGGATGAGAAACTGAGCCTGCTCCATGCACCCAGATGAAGGCAACCACCTCTTTGCTCAGCAGAATGCACTTCAAACAAAGAGTTTTAAGAGTTCCCACTGGGGACCCACACATCTATCCCCTGAGACCCCAAAGAGCTGCCCCTTTTGATGGATGACCCTGAGCTTGAGCTCATCCAAAAAGAATAAGTACGTTAAACAAGGTATCTCTCTTCCATCCTCTCTACCCCCCTAACTCTTAGAGACTACTGATGCCAGTCATCAGCAAGATATTGCTTTCCAACCCTCTGTGGTTGTGGTCAGAGTTCACTGACCATTCAAAGTTTGATCTAAATAACCCCTCTCTTACTGCACAAAGGAGGTTATTTTTCCCTGTCAGGGGGATGCACATGACCTGATAAGGGAGGTCTCCTGCTCCGTCTTTCTTCCCACTTAGTGTTCACATCTCAGCTACTGCTAATGGTCTGATCTTAAAGGGCTAGAGAAGACCCTTTCCAATTTGAGAATAAGTTATAATCCAGCCCTGGGAGGCGGAGGACAGCTCAACACACTTGACATTTGCAAAGAGCTTCTCAAATTGGTTTCACCCACTTTACTCTTCTTTTGCTCTCTCCCATATGCAAACTTCATAAAAGAGGGAAGACAGCAGTGACCCCCATTTGGATCTGAGTGCTTTGCCAGAGGTCATGCACATTGTGACAGTGGCAGAGGTGCACTGGCAAGCCAGGTCTAGAGGGCCAGGCCTGGGCCCTTCCCCAGATGGCCCACTGATTGGTGACCAGAGAAGAAAAGCTATCACTGGGCTTGCCAATAGTCACATGGCAGCCAGAGGCCCAGGGCAGGACAATAGAAAAGCCTGCCTCTAAAGTGGCCTGGATTCCAGTCCAGCCCTGGGCTTTAATTAAATGAGGCAACAAGTGTCAGCTGCTTTGCACTGCTCAGCAGGGGTTCAGTAAAGGGCAAGGCTATTGCTATCATTTGACCTTTGACAAATCCCCACGTCACCACATCCCCAAGTTTCTCTGGGCCTCAATGTCCCCACCTGCAACACGAGATGGGGGAGGTGAGAGGTGCAGAGAAGCATTTCCCAAGTTCCAGGCATTTTCATACCACCCCCACAGCTTTGACCCTAACTTCCTATTCCTCTACCCTTATTTAGTACTTCTCTTTAGACCATCTTTAAATCAACTCAGTTCATTAAACTCAATTTGTCTTGAATAATTTTTGGAACATTATGGACTCATACTAGTTATATTTCTTTTCTAGTATGCACAAAATGTTGCTAAAACAGATACATCTAAATAAACCTAGGTTAATGTGTACCACCAAAAATCATCTCTCATGGCACACTCTGGAAAACACAGGACTCAATGAACGCTTAGAGCCCTCAGCCATAGTCCAATATGGCTACAGACCTGCAGCCTCATCCAGGAAGATCATAGCTCCGGTCCAAAAGCCAGGCCTGAAGATCGGCCCAAACAGCCTCTGCTCCAAAGACAACGCTGCACAATACCAGAACTGAGAAGGAGGTGACAGGGTTTAGATGGGCCAAATGAGGCCACCAACCTTGGGGATGGCCTCGCTCACAGCATAGCTGGCCTTGTCACTGACCCACACCTTCTCCCTCGGGGAAAGGTCGGCACACAGGGTCTTGAGTTCGCTCAGGATGGACGTGTAGGGAAGCACCTGGATTCTGTACTCAGCCTCCAGGCCCAAGTCAAGAAGCAAGTGCTCCTTCACACTGGGGGCGTCTATGCGGTCACCGTCAATGAAGAGCCTACAGAGGGGCCAGAGGTGGGTGACAGAAAGAGGAGGGCATCTGAGTGAGAGGCTGAGAGGCTCTGTCTTCTGGCAACCACAACCAAGCCACTTTTCCCTCCACCCCACTGCTTTCCCAGATCCTGCTCTCCAGACTGGGATCCCTGTCCCTGTGTATGTTGTCTTCAGTCACCCAATTTCCCAAGCCAGACACCTAGGCAGTGTCCTCCTTAATGCCCCTGCTCCATCCTTCATTAAGACCTTGGGACCTACAACCTAAATCTCTATCAAATTGGTCCAGCTTATCTGCAGCATTGCCCAGTCATCACCCAGGTTCAGGCCACTACCATCTCTCACTTGGATTAGTGCCACAGCCTCCAAGTTTTGCCCCATCCATCCAATTTTTCCCAGTCATAATATTCTTCATAATTTACAAGTCTAACATGTAGTTTCCTCTGAAAAATTCATTCAATAGTTTCCTGATCAACAAGAACAAAAGCCCAAGCTCCTGAATTTAACCCATAAGACCGCTTATATGGGGGCCTGCTCACCTCCTGGCCCCAATGTGGCTCATTCCGACCACACAGAACTACTCTGGGTCCTCCACATGCACTGTGCCCTCTCCTGCCCAGAACCTCTGAAAATGCTGTTCCCTCTACTTGGATCATGGTCCCCTCCTCCTCCTCACCCCACCAGTCACCTATCTAATTCACATTTATCCTTAATCTCCACTTCAATATTACTTTTCCCCAAAAGTCTCCTCTGATTCCCAAGTCTAGGTTGTGCAACACCTGTACCCATCCCACTGACAAGCTAGTGCCTACTTATGTGCCAGAATCCCTCAGGGAGAAGAGATGTTTACCCCCCCCACTCTACCCAGACCTGCAGCCTCATCCAGGCTCATTCTAGCACCTAACAGAGACACCTAACACATCACAAGCACTCATAAAATGTGTTATCTGAATGCAGAAAGCCATCCAAACAAGAAGACCATAGGCAATGCTTTAAAAAAAATAAAATTCAACAAAGTACAGCTCAGGGGTTTTCCCATATTATTTCCGACCTTCAAAAGGACTCGATTTATTTGCATTGTGGGCCCAGAATTGCATAACTAAGCCTATATGCTCCTTTTCACTGGCTGCTAAACAACTTGGAATCAAACATGTGGACTGAACAAGACCTTGCAGCAGGAATTCTGTGAACTAACCTCATTCCAGTTTGGTCCTAATGCCCCCACTTACTTATTTTTTAATCTCTTAGTACTCTAGATACTTCCAGAAATTTCAAATCATTCAGGCGTTAATATATATAAATAAACACTACTGATATAAATAAAAACCTACTGTTAAGAAAGACAAGAAGATAAAGGGAAAACAAGGTAAGAAAAAAGAAAGAAGTGCATCACTGAAAGATCAGGCAGTGACAGGCCAGGACTAGAAAAAGGTGGGGGTTGGGGCTTTAAGGAGTGGTGGGGAAGGAAGTTCCAGGTGTGGGACAAACACTCACATGATCGTCTCTAGTCCTATGATTGCGTAGGAGAAAAACACCGGATTGTGCTCCACATCTGATCCTCGGAGATTAAATAGCCCTTAAAAAGAAATCAAAGCCCCGGTCACCTGCCTGACTTGAGATATTGAGGGGTCACCTGCAGGGGGAAAGGAAAAGCTTTGACTTGGAGTCCAACTGCTATGGAAGGATTTAGTGGCATGGCTCAGAAGGGCAGGAAACCTTACTCCAGGTTCCACCTCTCTGCTGCAATTGTTCGTATCTGCCACATGATGGCACCAGAACTGCTTTTTATGCTGTTACATCACTGGGAAGGAATGAGTTATTAGTCAGAAAACATGAGAAATGACCTGAAACAAAGAGTTGAAATGATCTGCCTAGTGGTGAGCTGCCACACCAGGCCTTGCTGCAGACAAACTTCTGGCACTCTGGCACTCCGGGAAAAAAAAGGAAGGAGACAAGCACTCTCTCCCTTCTGAGGCAAAGGGTAGAAAAATTGAGCCTCACCCACAAGGGAGGCCAGACAGGCCTCTTCTGAAAGAGTTCATGAGCCCCGTGGAGGTGGAGCTTCCCGTCAGAGGCAGAAAGAAAAGCTGTGAGTCAGCAGGGCTGCAGCCTATGAATGAAATCTGAGCCTGCAGCCCACCATGGGTCTGCTATAGCATGATGACTGGGCAGGGGACTGCCAGCAGCCAGTGTCAAGGGGTTTGGTGAGGTCACAGAACGTTTTGGAAACTAGAGGGACCAGCAGAGAGCACAGCTCTGATCCCAGGGCTTCCAGTTCCCAAACGCCTGCTCTGGTGAGGATAAGAGTGCAAAAACAGCTCGACATCAAAAGTATGGCTTCTGTTTTAAAAGAATGGCTTCTCAAAGTAAAGTGATGAGGTAACACCTTTTACCATCATACTAACGCTTTTAAAATTATAGGACCTGGGGCAGGTGAGGGTGTGGCAAGATGGATGCACCTAATCAACCACCGTGCAGCTTTACTGGTAGGCAAAGACAAGATGGGTCAAAAGCCCTACCATACACGTGCTGCCAACCCATAATACTACCCCTAAAAGCCAACCAGAAATAGGAAGAAGAAAATTATCAGACACTAAGACATGAACTTAGCCAGGCTTGGTGGCTCAGCCTGTAATCCTGCGCCTGTGGGAGGCTAAGGTGAGTGGATTGCCTGAGCCCGCGGGTTCGAGACCCGCCTGGGCAGCGAGACCCCATCTCTACAATAAATCAAAAAATCAGCCGGGCGTGGTAGCGCATGCCTGTAATTCTGGCTACTTGGAAGGCTGAGGCGGAAGGATCTCCAGAGCCCAGCAGGTCGAGGCTGCGGTGGCCGGAAGCGGCCACTGCACTCCAGTCTGGGCGACAGAGTGAGACTCCAACTCAAAAAAAAAAAAAAAAAACATGAACTTATAAAACAAGATTTTGATGGTAGTAGCATTATACTAAATTGTAGGAAAACTAGAAATAACTCAACGGTCATCCTTAGGGAAATGGTTAAGTAAATTATGTTATTCAATTAACTACATAACTGAATATGTAACACGCACTTAAAATTATGTTTATATGTGCTTACAGTATACTGATACATTGAAAAAATCAGGTTACAAAATGATACGTGCATAGAATATTAACACTGATTATCTCTGGGTAACAGAATTATAGGTGACTTTTTTCTTCTTTCTACTTCCTCTGCATTTTCCAATTTCTCCATCATGGCAATGTGTTTTTGTATAATCAAGGAGAAAAAGAAGTTTTATATTGTTTCTCTCTGATGTTGAGGTTATTAAGTTAATTAGGGATATAAATCACTGATACACTTGATAAAGTTTTGGGGATTAAAGAGATAAGATGGGGGTTGAAGAGATTACATATTAAGGTCTCTTTCCCTTCTCACAAAAAGATAAAGTAATGCTTCTTTCCAGGTGCCCTGGGTCAAATCCACTCAGAAAATAGGAAATAGAACCAGATTCCTTCAGGTTCTAGAAGATAAAAGAAGGTACTGAACTGCAGGAGAGCAGTTTAAGGTCTAAAGATTGAGAAACTGCTATTGTATCAAAGGGCTTGGTAAAGAACTTTTGGTTTCTGAATTTTCTGAGGTAGTCATGTTCCTAGAACATTCTCACTGTGAAGATCTTGGAAAACAATAGGAAAAGTATAAAGAAAATATTATCTCCCATGACCCCATTTCTACACCTATAGAGAAGCTGACAGACACAAAATGTTTATAGGAAATGCCCTTCCTCAGGTGTCACAGTCCTGAGAGACTGGCCAGAGGTGGACATCACCCATGGATTCAACATAAGTCCCTGGCTGTAATACTGCTCTGGGCAAGACAACACCACCCCTACCTCCATAATTATTTTTCCTTCATCCTGTACCCATTTGGTTTACATAGTCTCTTGCTCATTCCCCAGCCACTCAGAAAGCTGAATGGCATAAACACACAGATTCCCAGAGACCCAAAGGACAGGTCAGGTAACACATCCAAAAGTGAAATCAGAGCACTCACATGCAATTTCATCTAGGGCAGTGACCACAAACCACACGACATTCCTCTCAGCCATTTTCAACCGAAGATCTGCAACCTTGTCCTTCCAGGAGATGCCTAAAAGAAACAAATGTGCTTTGACTCCAGCCCAGTTCCAGGAAGCCACAGGAGCCAAGTGAAATACCCCCACCCCCCGCCGCCCCCAAACAACCTCAACCAGCACTACATCTTACTAGGAGCATGTTGCTTGCCCAGGTAGGAGGCCCAGATTCAAGCCCTATACATGAGACGTGGCTCTGTCCAAACCACTTGCCTGTCATGAGCCCTGACTGCTTCATCAGTTAGAATTCATTCATTGATTCATCCCACAAATTCCTATGAAGCATCTAGACTTGCCAAGCACAATGCTGATCACTGTGGTTACAGTTCTGAGCTAGACCCAGTCCAGGTCTTCATGAGACTTACAATACAATCTAGAACAGGAGACAATTAAGCCAGCAACTAACTATACTACTGTAAATACTAGTGCAATAGGGGACACACAGGGAGCTACATGAACACACCACCCAGCAGAGAGAACTCACCCAGTCCCAGAGGTCAGCAGAATAGCATCCACCACTTGACATTTCTTAGGTTGAAAGACTTGCTTTTCAGTGCTAAGACCTAGGAATTCCCTGTGGTCTGACTCGCTGTGACTACCACTTCTAAATCACACTTGCCTGATTAGACACAGCCCAGCCATGGGGATGCTGCTCCCCAGTATGAAACAGTGGCCCTAAAGGAACTCACCCCTGCAAACACCCAACCACGCCAGCATTTATAATTCAGGAACCAACCACCTGTGAACAGGGCAGTCATCCATCTTACTCATCCAGTACCTAGCATCTACTGCACACAGTAGGCACCCAAATATATGCTGAACAAAAGCTTTTCCAGTAACTTTACTCTCCTCTCTCCTATAAGCAATAGATCAGAGCACCTGCTTCAGTGAAAAAAAATTCAAACCACACTAATGGAAAATACTTACCTGACCCTGGGCCACTTACTAGACTCATTCTCCCCAATGTGCAATACCCTTCAGTGAGGGTATCACACAGGAAGGCAAGCTGGGGTGCCCCACAGCAAGGGCTGCTCTGGAGATCAGCTCAGGAATGCTGTTTAAAACTTGGCCCAGAATCTAGGCTGTCATGCTTTCTTCCCAGGACCTCTCCAAGCAATCTGCCAACATTCCACAGTCATCCCTCATCCACCTCTGTTTCTACAGCAAGGGGCCCTCCCCTGCAGTCCACCTCCCAGGCCTCTCCCTCTGCCCCATCACTGCTCCATAAATCCACACAACAGTTCACAGAACATGCTCCTCACCCACCACTATCACACAGGCCAACACCCCAAAGCCTCCAAATCAGAAGGACAAAGATGGAGAGCAGGGGAGTTGGGAAGGTATACCTGCAAATGCTAACATAAGAAAGGAAATGGAACCTAGAAAACCTCTAGGCTCTATTTCCAATATCAGACATGTTATGTAGCAGTTAGTAGCTGAGTTGTAAAAAAACTCAGTCCTCTCAGCAGCACCCAAAAAGCCCCCTAAAAGAGCCTTGCCAAAATAAACAAAGCCAGACAAAGTGACAAGTAGGTAGCAACAGCAGAAACAAATAAAGCTCCTGCTTCCTCAAAGGTCCCACTGGTTCAGTGAGGCAAAATCCTCCCAACACTGCAAACTCAAGGACTGGAGGAAACAACAGCGAGAGGTGGGGGGACAATGGCTGGGGCCCTGTTGGATACAACTGTGGCTCTGACCTGTATAATCCAGGCCCAGTGTGAGGAGGGGCTTGCACGGGCGCTCTGGACGATCTGTCCAGATTTTGTCGACAAGGTTCTCCTTGACAGGAATGAGGTGGTGGCCAGCACTTCTCAGAACCTTGGCCATCTTCTTCCAGTAATCTGAGGAGACACATACATGGCCCAGACATGAAGTGAATGTCCATTTCAGCCGAGGCAGGCGGCAGGGCCTTGAGAGCCTGGTACCTTCCAAAAGGTAATCTTCCCATGGCCCAGAACTGGCCATGCAGGATGAGGAACTGTAAAAGAATATCTTCACCATGAATGGCTTTCCCCTGCCTCTATCCCAGAATGCTTCTCCTCACCTTGACCTCTATCATGACATCGAGTCATGCTGAGCCACCAAATGCTCCACATCCCACAGCAAACAAGGAGGATAGAGAGGAGTCTAGAAGCCACTTCCCTACCCATGCAGGAAGGGGCCAAATTCACTCACCTGTAGGAATGATCAAGGGGTCCACACCAACCCTGGATCCTTCAGGAAGCACACTCACCAGCCAGTCTTCCTGAGTTGGTGTGTCTTTTAGACCTACAGAAGAAAAAAATGGTAAGAAAAAAATCCCAGCAGACCCACTCATCATCCTACTCAGAAAAATGCAATTCACTGGCATCAGGATAGCAGAGTCTTCATGAAGCAACTTCTTTAAAGTCGATTGGCAAGACTTAGAAAATCTAAACCTCCCTTAATCCTGGACTTCAAAAAGAAGGGAGAAGTATAAGTTGGTGTGTAAGAAAAACATAAGATAAGGGTGAAAAAGAAAAGGAAACAAAGCATGATTTTCACTTAAACCCTGGTAAAAAATGTCATCTTGGGGATTACGGTAACATAAGTACATGGTGGCATTGCAAAGATCATCTCTTTGGCATCCAGCCGCTTCCCCACCACTGGTTACCTGATGAGAACTTGTGCAGTAATCTGGTGGAGTTTAGGAGCTAGGAGCCTCTCTCATGTTACACACCAGGTAAGGCCACAACATGCCACCCATTTCCCTCCCACTCCCGCTGCCACAAGGGCAGGGTGACAGAGAGAAGGCTCATTGCCTACAACCCACCTCTGACTGTAGGGCTCAACAAAAGTCTTGGCAGCAAAAAGAAATCTTCCCAAAGATTATAAGAGAGACACACAGGAACCTACCCCACTGTCTGTAGTATGGCCCTCTGGGCTTCCCAACTCCCAAGTTCAGACAGCCCTTTCTGTTTGTAAGATACTAGCCATATGACACTAAATAAGCTTTCAGAAAGGAACTAAAATTATTTTTATAGTCCAATTTTCTTTTAAGCTGATATCTCCTATATCTAGCCAGTATCTTTGAAATGTATACTTTTTTTTAACCAAACAGATTTTGACTAAACAAGTAAAATATACATATATTTAGAGCAAAATTAAACAGTACTCATCCTTCCTATTTTCTCTACTGATTACTGATATAACCACATAACCACAGAAGGGAAGTGCAAAGGTTTATAAAGAAATGAGCTCATGAATCCCAGTTCTAAAAAGCTGCCTAGACACTGGCATTGAGTTTTATTTTGCTATTTGATTCTTTCCTATTTTTTCAAACCACTTAACAAGCCACTTATTAATGCAGTTTCTCTTAATACCCCTAGTATAACTTTCACAGGATGAAGTCATGTCATTTCTCAGCAGACAGATCTTGGGCAAAGCTTCAGGGATGAATCACTCACTAACCAACCAAACCCACCAGGTTCTCCCTCCAAGGGAAAACTCACCTGAGGAAACTAGGAGGAGCCTGGAAGGGAGAAGGGCTCACACCTGCCACCACAGACTTACTTTAGGAACAGGCAGATAGTGTTCAATCTTCTGACACTTTGACCCTCAAAGTGCTAACAGACCTAACAGCTTGAATATGTGGCCCCAAAGCGAAATGCCTGTACCCAGGGGACACCCAATGATATACTGGGTACAAGAAGAAAGTATTAGAACTTCTATTTGTATTTATTTTTTCTAAAAAATTAAAAAATTCATTTTTGCTGATATTTGGAATACAGATGAACACAAGTACACGTATAACATATAAACAAACATACATATATGTTGAGGGTATCTGACCTTATTAGCAGAGGCATGCAATCAAAAACATATAAAGGCAGCTAGTCTGTCCATTTATAACAGCCTCAAATGTCTGTGTGTGTGTGTGTGTGTGTGTGTGTATGTATGTGTATATGTGTGTGTGAGAGAGAGAGAGAGAGAAATCAACTGTGACAACAATCAATCTGTAGCTTTAGTGTTTTTTAATTCTGAAAAGATTTTTGAGAAACAGAAACATAAAATAATCCCAATGCCAGGACAAAAATGTCCCTAATCCCTCCTTAACACAAACAGCCTATATGTATGTATGTGGAGAGTATATGGCACACATACATGAGCACACACACCCTCTTAGCCAGCTGGTTGCCTGGGTCTCAGGGTCATGGTCAAGCCTTCTAATCCCTGCACTGGGAGTCTGGTGACAACGTCCTTTCCTAATTACTTCCTACAGCAAACAAGAACTATCAGGCATTTTGCCTCATCTTTTCTTTCTCGCTTGATGCTGGTAACCTTTTTTCTCCTTCCTTATCTTCTGTTCCCCAGGTTCAAAATTCAGAAGGGGGAAACCTTTGTACAAACACTAAAATTGTGTTTCTAAAGACTACTTTAATGACCAGAAAAATACACATAGCACAAAATTAAATGTAAAAACAGACTACAAACACATTTATTCAACAAACACTGAGCTATATGCTTTCCATATGTTATTTATTTAATCCTTATCACTTTATGTGTTCCTTCCTATAATTAACCCATTTTACAGTGGAGGAGCCCAAAGCATTGCAAGAAAGTTCTAGACCTATGCTCTTGCCCTGCATACTGCTCTTCTCCAAAGCCAAGCTGCCAGAAGCAGTCCAGGATCATCAGAGAGAACCTTAGAGGGAGAAACTCCTGGCTTCTCTTGCCAATGGGCCCCTTGCCTTAATCTTGCTCTAAATCATGAGGCAGCAAAGAGCAGCAGAAAAGCCCCAGTGCACAAGTGAAAAGCAAGGCAAGCTATGTGATCTACAGCAAATCAGCTGTTCTCTATGGCCTTAGTTTCCCCTCAGTAAAATGAGTATCCTGAACCAGGATCCTCCAAAACCGAATGTACACTGGTATGTTCATACTTAAATAGGCATGCCATTTTCTTGGCTTTCCTTGAATTCTCAAAAAGGTTCCATGACCACACAGAAGGGTTTAGATGCAGGAGTCCTGAGGATCACTAGGACCCTTGCCCAGATCGGGCCAGCTAAGTTGGGTTGGCCACACCTCTACTTACCCATCTTCATGAGTGTCCAGTTGCTGTCCATCTGCTTGGCAGCCTGGAGAAAGTAGCGCCCATCAGTCCACATGGCTGCATGCTCTTCTGTGATGATGGCTGTACCTGGAGCAGGAGAGCAGAGAAAAGTGAAAAATTTCCGGCAACTGCCCAGAAGCTGCACAAAATGGCAGCAGGCTGGTGAGAACAGCAAGAGGCACTAGCTCCTAGTGGGGCAGATGGGTCCTTAACTCCAGGGAAACCTCTCAGGCAAGAAAAGACAACACCACTGAGAACCAGTGTGGGGAGCAGGGGGGTAGAGAGAGAGAAAGAGAGGAGGGTCAAGTTCTGAAAGAAATCATCCAGAGACCCAGGCAGGCTGGCAATGGTTCCTGCACAGAAAGGACCCCACTGTGCAGTACAGGTCAAGGCCGGCAGAAAAGAGAACTGTGGACCTATGGCCAAAGTGTTCTCATAATCAATAAGACAGAGGTAGGGATGGGTCCTGCTGAGCAATCATAGCCCTTCCTCTGTTCCACCAGACCCCAGAGGAGCTGTCTCGCCTTTCCTGGAGAGATCAGTGGACCCTTGAGTGTTCCTGCTACAGTCACCAGCAGAAAGTTCATGCTTCCTACCTCTATCTGCCCTCTGTTCCCACAGGCCTGGCAGAACTTGAGGATTTTGCAGAGGCGTCCGCCAAAGCCAATCCTAATGTGCCAACCAACACAAGCAGTTACTCCAAAGGAAGCAGCAGGCTAACCACGAGGGGAAAAAAGTTCCCATTCAGTCTAGCTTGCTTAAGGTATGGGAGCCTAAAGGGGGAAACCCAGCCGAAAACTCAAGGAAAAGCTACGGAAGGACACTGATGTAGCTCAACATTAACCTCTGTTATTTAAGCCAAAAGTAAAAGCAGAGAAACCAAAAGTCAAGCCCTTGGAGAATTCTTTGGAACTGATAAACTAAGGTGGGAAGTTCTGAGAAGATATTAAAGTCCCCTTTCTTATTTGGGGTGCTTGCTACACAAGTATAATCCGTTTAATTGACATAATGTTTAATGTATATTAATATTCGATAAAAAACTCAAAAATTTTTTTGCAATAAAAATTGTTAAAATGTTGAAAGCAAAGATATAGAGAAGAGCAAAGAGTCACTGAGAGGACCTTGGGGAGCTAGGAAAGGCTGGGAGCCCACACCTCTGTGCAGAGGCTCCATGAGGAACATTTGGTTTGCATTTTTTTTGGTTCTATATCACAAGCTGAAACTTGGTTGTTATTTTTAGGAGGCGAACAAAGGTACTGCAAGAACAGAGAGAATTTGGTGACTCGGTACAGCAAGGACAGAGAATTTGGTGACTCACCCGCAGAGCCATCGAAGCCAGAGACAAAGGCCCGCCGACAGTCACAGGGAGCAATATACTCGCTCTGGAAAACAAAGATGACAATGTCAGTCGTGAGCTGACTGCTTTCCCAGGGGGCACCACAAAGGTTGGGGAATCCTTGGAACCTGCCTTCAAAGAGGTACAGTCCAGCTAAAAACAAAACATTGGCACACACTACACAAGACTCTAATTAAGGGCTAAACGAGCTGTTTCCTTTAGCCTCTATTTTCTAATTCAAACAAAAAAGCAAGTCAAGAGATAGATAAAAAACTATTCTTGGTGGCCAGGTATGGTGGCTCAGGCCTGTAATCCCAGCACTTTGGAAGTTGAGGCACGAGGACTGTTTGAAACCAGGAGTTCAAGACCAGTCTGGGCAACTAACAAGACCTCATCTGTTACAAAAACAAAAATAAAAAATTAACCAGGCATGGTGGCACGCATCTGTAATCCCAGCTACTCAGGAGGCTGAGGTAGAAGGATCTCCTGAGTTCAAGGCTGTGGCAAGCTGTGATCATGCCACTGCCCTCTAGTCTGAGCGAGAGGGTAAGACCCCAACTCAAAAAAAAAAAAAAAAAAAAAAAAAAACTTGCCCTTTCTTAACTGAGCTCTTACTCAAAAAACAACCAACTGCCTTCTCCCTTCCTTGCCACTGACATTTAGGCATCTGTTATTTTTCTGAAAAGTGAGGAAGAATTTCCGTTTTAAGCACCCATAATTCCCTAACTGAAGTCTCTTCAGATATTGGCTTGTTTCTGAACTTCTTCTTTGTGTCCCCCTCTCAGGTAGCATCACCAATCTTTCCCACACAGACCCTGTCGCTTCCTGTTAGGGAATGAGAGGAAACACTTCCTCCAACCCAGGAGGCGTTGGCAAAAATGTCATGTACAAAACCAGGTCCTTCCAAGCTGATCATCTCCTTGCCTCTGTATGGAAGGGGATTTAGGGAGTGAAGAAAGTAAAAGGTTCTCATGCCTGAGCAAAGGGTATAAAGCCAAAGTGTGTGCAACTTCTGGTAATAAAACCGGTGAGGCACAGAGAGTTTAAATAACCTGCCCAAAGTCACACAGTTAGTTAAGTAGCAGAGGCAGGATTTGAACCTAGGCAGTGAGCCCCAGAGTCTAGAGTCTGAAACCTTATGCCAGGATGCCCCCACATGACACATTATCTCTCATCTTCCTAAAGCATCTCTAGGATAAGACCAATAGCAAATGAAAAAACTGCGGTTCAAAGGGTTTTAAGTACACTGCGCACTGACAAGTTAATAGCAGGCCAGGATCCAAAACCAGGTCTGCTTGAACACAGAGCTGCTGTTTCTTTCACAGTTAGTGAGATTCTGCATGATAAAGGACCTGGCAGGTTCAGAATGCTTAGATAGGAAACATGGTTGCTGGCCCGATCCCAAAGAATTTTTAGGACAGTCAACATGATGTAGGGAAAAAAGGCACCCATGTTCCACTTCTGCCAGGTGGGTGAGAACTGCCCTTTCACCAAGGCAGTCATAATGACAGCCTCAAACCACTCTCTGGGAGATACCAGAAAGGCCATCACTGAGAACCACATGGTAAGATGAAGCTCTGGGCCACCTGCCCTCCAGCCCAGGCCTACCTCTGTGGTCTGCAACAAGTCCCAGCACCTCGCTCAGTCTCATCTCCTCATCTCTAAAATGGGTCATTTCAGATTACCAAACACAACAGCAGGCACATGTTTTATTCCTAAAACATAAAGGAACATTCAGTTGACAGCACTAAGGAAATAGAAGAGGCTGCCAGCAGCATTTATGAACTACAGAATCCTCACTTGTTTATTAACCTTCCCAAAGTCACACAGCTAGTTAAGTAGCACAGGCAGGATTGGAACCTAGGCAATCAGTTACAGACCCTGGGCTCTGAAGCCTTGTGCCTGGATAAGGAATATCACTAGGTGCCAGACTTTTTTTAAAAAGCAACAATGAGGACAAGGATGTCACACCTGTTTCCCAGGACTATTGTGAGAAACCATAAGTGAATGTTTTTAAAACCTCACCAGAAACTTGAAAGTGCTGCACACACGCAATGAAAGAGATACTGTTAGTCTCTTCTTTCAGAACAGTGAGAAAGCAACAAAAGGGCTGAGAAAACTACATTAAAAATAACTAACTAGCTGGGCTCGGTGGCTCAGCCTGTAATCCCACACCTTTGGGAGGCTGAGGTGAGTGGATTGCCTGAGCCCGCGGGTTCGAGACCCGCCTGGGGCAGCGAGACCTCATCTCTACAATAAATCAAAAATCAGCCAGGTGTGGTAGCGCATGCCTGTAATTCCGGCTACTCGGAAGGCTGAGGCAGAAGATCACCGGAGCCCAGCAAGTCAAGGCTGCGGTGGCCGGGAGCGGCCACTGCACTCCAGTCTGGGCGACAGAGTGAGACTCCAACTCAAAAAAAAAAAATAATAACTAACTAAAAATCACTGTGCAAAATGGAGAATACACAGTGAGGACACTCGACCAATAGTAGGGTTCCAGAGACTTGGGTTCTCCTCCCCATGTCACAGTGATGATGCAGGTGAAAGCTGGCAGAGAACGCAAGGCAGATCTCGGCCTGGCTGGACTCTTCCACTCTTCCACTCAGGGACACAGTCTCTCGGGATGTCCACCCCTGTCTGGGCAAACCCGAGTGGAGAGACAGGAGATCCACACAGTGCACCTAAAGTTTCCCATCAGCAAAGGCAGGGACGGGTTCCTCCAAGGGAGATGGGATTAATAGCAGATGGACATGTTTAGTTTGGGATTGAGACGGGTCTGGGATAAGAACATCCAGACATGACCTAAGTGGTCAACACTCCAGAAAGACATCGCTAAGTGAAACTGCCCACAGTCTCACCTCCACACTGACAGGCTATGCAAAGGCCAGACAAACACTGGGCCTGGGCCTGCCACTCTCCCCGCAGTCACAAAGCCAGCAACGCCCAGGGACATTCTCTTCAGAGCACAGCACAGGGTCTAAAATAAGCCAAAGCTACAGCAAGCACAAGAAGCACAGCTGTTGACTTTTTCTCCAAAACCACCCTCTTCTCTCCATCTCTAATAACAGCACTCTGAGCCGGGCTCGGTGGTTCAGCCTGTAATCCCGTACTTTGGGAGGCTGAGGTGAGTGGATTGCCA